GAAAAACAGAACGACACCCCTCTCACCCTCTCTTCGCTTTCTTCCTTCCAAGGGGTGTTTTGGCTGGAGGTCCCTCTTAGTGGTGTAATTAGGGGCTTCCAGCCAGGGCACCCCTGGTCTTCCAGCAGATGGGGTGAACTCGGCGGGACCAAGTGAGTTCTCGACCGACCGACCGTTTCTCGTCTCCTTAAATTTCGTCGAAATCACCACGTGCGGCCGGGTCCCGGCCAGGACGGGCCCGGTGGCGCCACCCGCATAGCCAGATCTGGACGACATGGAGGGCAGCTGAGCTACGGCGTCCGGGGATCCAGACTTTCGTTCAGAACCGAGAGGGGGCTGAAGGCGAAGCATCTGAGAAGCCACGCCCGGAGAACTCCAAGGAGGTCTCTACATCCAATCAATTCTACTGACATCGAGCATCTGGAAACTCTTCCGAGAAATCGGGAAAAAAAAAGAAGCATCTTCCAACTTCCACACCATCTTGAAAACGCACTTCTTCCAGGAATCGGACCCAAACTCCTCCCAAAACCTCCAAAACATCCTTCACCTCTTCCAACCTCCCGGCCCCCGTCCCCGTCCCCCCGGTGCGCCGCCTCCGTCCGCCCCCGGGCTCCACCGGTCTCGGAGGCGTCAGCGGAGGCGCCGGGACCTCGGTGCCGCGGCGGCCGCAGAAGGAGCTTCGGGAAGGAGGTGGCCAAGAGGTCCGCACTCCGGAGGTTCTCACGGTTTTAGTGAATTTTGATGAATATATTAATCAATACAAGTTCTTTGGCTTTGTGATGCATTTTGGGTTCGGTTCGCTTTTTTCAACTTTTCGGGTGGTTGTTATGAATCTTTCGGCTTTTCGATCGGGCGTCATCCCGCTTCGTGTTGTCAAATGAGATCAATGACAAGCGATTCAGAGAGATCTCACCGTCGAAGACTCATCCCATCTGCTCTACCTAGCCTGCTCACAGCCCAATCACGGTACCTTTCCGCTTCCGCTTCCCCCGCCACAAGCGCCCGGGACCTCCCTCCGTCTCCGGGACATCCGACCGTCCGCCGGGGAGGGACCACCGTCCACCGGCCGAGCCGGCTGGGTGCGAGTCGGCTCAGTGGTCCGACTCGGTGGGGACCGGAATCGGCCGCTTGGCCTTGGCCTTTGGGAATCCGGACCCGGGCCATGGAACATGAAGCAGTGACATTGATATTGCGATACGGTCATATAATGTCATATATAGTCACGATGCTTCAAAACATCTTCCATCACAAATGATTTACATGCGTAGCAACAAAGATTGGTTGATCATTGTTGATCTAACTTGTACAGTCCCTTTCCAACAGAGCCTTTGCGTTTGCTTGTGTGAGAACCCCTGAAAACCTCCTGATGTGATGCGTTATATGCTTTATCCCAGTTGACAGGTTGCTTGACCAACCTGATGTGTTGCATCGAGCCACCAGGGGTTGGCGGACCTGGCACATTGAACTTCATCCTGAACACGGCCTTTTCGAGCAAAACTCCTTGGAAACACATGTGTTTCTTCAAGAAGGTGGAATGTTTTGAAGTGGATGTCGTGTTTGTATAATGCTTTGGAGGGGATCGGTTTTGATACTTCAGACATCCATCCCACCGGTCCCACACCCAAACTCACCCGTTCAGCCCGGTCCGTTTTCCCAATCGGATGGATTCGGATCGATCCGGGCTCGGATCCATGTCCACAGACTTTGGAGGGCAAAACAGGGTAGACTGAGGTGGGCGGTTAGGGTTTGTTTGGAGGATCATTTCCACAGACTTTGGAGGATCTTTGTTGCTTTCTTCCTTTTCCCCAAAATGCATGAGCCCCATAATGCCATAGATCTGGCAATTTGGCCACTCGAAATCAAGGTCTCTACATAATATGGTTCCTGGCTGGACTACCCTGCTATCCGGAACCTAAGACTTCATTTTCGGGGATCAGTCGTACCAAAACACACCAAAACACACCACTCATGGTCGGCGGTCAAGTCAGACTCAGCTTTGCACCTGTCTCGGTCTCCGCACCCAGACACCTCCCAGGACCGGTACAGGGACCCAGCTGTGGGGGGGTTTCAGCTTGGTACAGCTGGATCTTCCAACTGCGACCAATTGGTTGCCTTTTCATCCAACGAATCCAAAACCGCCCCCAAACAGTCGGCAGAAATCCACGTCTAGTCAGTCTAGTTGACATCTCTCTCAACCAAAAGATCCGCCCCAGCCCCTTTGGCCCAAAAAACGGGTCCTTCTTCGTGTCGGGGACGGCGTGCTCTTCACGAGGTTTCGGCCAAGCGCCCAGGTTGGCCAAGGTCGTTGGGCTGTTCTGCACCCAAACAAAGGTGGGGGTGCTAAAAGGTCGCTTCAAAAGAACTGCAAAAAAAACGCTAAAACCGATTATAAGATGTCATATAAGATCCCTCTTTTTTAAGAGTCGTTTCGCGAACTGCTACCATCGAGTCCTTGGAGCCCTTCCAAAGGATGTCCCCCTTTTTGAAAGGAGTGCCCCATTGTTTAAAGCTCCACATGACTGGATCCGATCAAAGAATTTCGAAGGGCGATCAAAGCGATCGCCTGAAAACCCGTTCAAATCCGACGGGCATAGGTTTTTCTCAATGTGGTCTTGTGTATGGTGAGGATAAAAAGACAAGGTGAGCCAACTGCCTAGGGAAAACCTGATTCCAAGAAGAAGAAACCACGGACCTTTGCTGTTCAGAACACTCCCGAAACCCACCAAAACTCCCCAAAAGACCAGGACCAGGAAACTCTCCGATCGGCGCCTGCGCCCCCCTCTCTCCGCCTGGGCAGGTCAAGAACCGCAGGTCCTGGGCCGCGAAGAAGGGAGGACCGGAAAGCCCAGCGGCACCGACCCGGACCGCGCCCGTCAAGGCACCGTGCCCAAAGGTCACGTTTGGGGGAGGGGACCAGCCGGTCGCGCTGCTCTGGGGTGTTCTGGACCCGAACTGTGTCACGGACGCAAGGGCGGACGCATGGCGGATGGAACGCCCCGAGCGGACCGGCCGAAAAAGCCTCCTAGCCAAGGCCCAGAAACACGGCCCCCCCCCAAGCCTTCATGCCAGGTGAAGCCCGAACCCGAACTGCAACCGACCTGCAGAAACTCAGGGTCGACCTTCCGATGTTCCACCTGGTTGGGCGCCTGGGTGTCGGGTTCTGTCCCGTTTTTTCCGCTCCAAAACGCGGCCGTTCCAGGTAGCTTGACAGGTCCAAACCGGTAACCTGGGGGGCTATGGGACAGTCGAACAGTCGGGTTCTGACCCACCTCTGGAAGTTCTCCAAAAGGAACGAAATGGTCGTTCCAAGTCGAACTCGGAACCTGACGAACACCTGTCCAGACATGTCCAGACCCGACATCTGCAGTTCTTGGTGAAGAAAAACCACTCCCTCCGGAGTTCTTGGAAGAATGGATTTTGGATGTTTGAGTCCCTATTAAGGTGAGTGAAGTGGATGGGCACCGCATGGCGCCTCCATTCAGCACCCCAACTCAATGGAACTGGGTCTTAGAATTGTCCCTCTGATCGAGGGCAACGACGCGTCCAAACACCATGCTGGTCCAAACACCGCACAAACACTCCGCTTCATCCGCTTCATCCGCGCCAGCGTCTGAAAAAGATATGGTGATTTAAAAAAACGAAGCATTCGGCCATGTCCAGCGCCGAATTCCGCATCTTCAAGAGGTTCCCACCCTCCTCCAGCGCAGTTTTCATCCATGTTCATCCCCGTTCAGCGCAGTTTTCCGCGTGGCACCACCGAAAGGGCGTCGCTCCGCATGCACCGCACTGGGCTCCGTGCCTCGCGCCTCGGCGAAGGAAGCCACGAGCCACGAGCTGCGGCCTGGGGGGCGGAGGAAGACCGAGGCCATGGGGGGGGGGGGGGACCAGACGGACGTCCGACGCAGCCAGCGGTATGTAAGATGGGTGTCCGAAGTCTCAGCGTGGATGTTGGTCCCTTCCTCTGCGTCCTTTTTCATCCGGTTCAATCCTCCCACAAGAGGCAAGTAACTAAATACAATTCTCATCCATCGTCATGAGTCATGAAGAGAAGGTCGCACATGGATTGGGTTGTGGACGTCAACCAACACACCTTCGATGGGTATGCTTATGGCGGTGATGGTCGTGTTACGTCCTAACTGTCGCTGCTGGCCGCTGGTGGCGCCGCTTTTCTTCTTCTCACAGTGAGTGACTGTTTGTCTCTTTAGGCCGCTGGGCACCTCCGTCGCTTCAGACTTCTTGAAAGTGGAAGGCTTGTGAGGCGCCCAGCAACTGGGTCAGCTTAGGAAGAAAAAAAGAGACAGCTCTTATCCGTGGCACAATCAGAGAGGCTGGGTGAAGGGTTCCCTGCAGCTCGCAATCGCAAAGATCTTCACCACGGGGAATCAAGCCGGTGCTCTTGGATGATCTTCTTGGCCTCTGTCTCGGACACCTCTTTGACCATCTTGCCAACCAGGAACTTCTGGAAGGTTCCGGCCGCGGTGCGTCGCACCCACGTGCCCTTGAACTTGTCCTGGTCAAACACCACAGCACCAACGCGGCCATCGGCCCACCGATAGATGCCGGGCCCGTGCCTCTTGCCGTGGGCATATTCTCCTTCATGCGTGTCGCCGTTCGGCCAGGTGGTTCTTCCGGTCCCGTGGCGCTGGCCTTGATGAAATTCTCCCTCGTAGGTCTCGCCGTCCGGCAAGGTGACTCTCCCGCGTCCCTCCATCTTGTTCCTCACGAAGTCCCCTTCGTAGACCTGGCCGGTCGGGTAGACGCACCGCGCCTTGCCGGT